GTGACCGCAGCCCGCGACGGCTCCGGCCTCGGAGGGTTGTTGGACTGAAATACAGGATTTTCTTCTTCTTTTTTTTTTTTTCTCTCTATTTGAACTTTTATTTTCACGTTAAACTTCCTCCCCGCCTCGTCTCCCGATTCTTTTAGGGTTTTTTTGGTTTTTTTTGGACCCGCTTTCACTCGCCTCCCCAGAGGCAACGCAGGCATCATGTCCTTCGACCCCACCATCATGCCACCTGCAAACGGCTCTGCCAACGGGACCGCCAGCGAGGGCGGGAAGCCCCCCACCATCCCCACCGTCATGTTCATCTTTGGCGTGGTCGGCAACCTCATAGCCATCGTGGTGCTCTGCAAGTCCCGGAAGGAGCAGAAAGAGACCACTTTCTACACACTGGTCTGCGGGCTGGCAGTCACCGATCTTTTGGGGACCTGTCTGGTGAGTCCAGTTACGATTGCCACTTACCTGCAGAATCGTTGGCCAGGAGGACCAGCGCTGTGTGAGTACAGCTCCTTCATCCTCCTGTTCTTTGGACTCTCTGGCCTGAGCATTATCTGTGCCATGTCTATAGAGAGGTACCTGGCCATCAACCATGCCTATTTCTACAACCATTACGTAGATAAGAAGCTGGCAGGGCTCACGCTCTTTGCCATCTATGCTTCCAACGTGCTGTTCTGCGCCCTTCCCAGCATGGGGCTCAGCAAATCTACCTTGCAGTACCCCGACACTTGGTGTTTCATAGACTGGCGAGCAAAGGAGGCCACTCATGCGGCATATTCCTACATGTATGCTGGCTTCAGCTCCTTCCTCATCATGGTCACGGTAATCTGCAACATCCTGGTGTGTGTGGCCCTAATTCGCATGCACCGCCAGTTTATGCGACGCACATCCTTGGGGACAGACACCACCTCCAGCCGCTTATCTGACTTTCGCAGACGCCGGAGCTTCCGTCGGATGGCCGGAGCAGAGATCCAGATGGTTATTCTACTCATTGCCACTTCCCTGGTTGTGCTCATCTGCTCCATTCCTCTGGTGGTGAGTAACATAGTGCAACCCTTCTTCTTTTCCATCACCCGCATTGCTGAGTCTTTTCTCCTCCTGGCCTATGCCTGTAGGAGAGAGTGCCGTTTAGCCAGTAGTGCTAACTGTCAGAATAACTTTAATGCAGCTAGCATACATACATGGTGATATAAAATTGTATTAATTTATATTTACAGCAAGAAACACACTTACACCAAGTTCTAGGCCCCTTTGATAGCTTAAAATCCCGTGCCACCAATTCTTAATAAATTTTTCACTGTTTAACCAGAATCTACGCAGCAGAAATCCTCGTGAGAGCTCAAGGCCCTTCAAAGTTCACTTCTTAAATTAATTTGTAATGAGTGAGGCTTGGGGTTGGCCTGCATTTTTGGATGTTTATTGTGTTTTTAAAATGCGCGTGCTGTTGCTGAAGGGTACAGTATTCCTTATTATGCGGATGAAGGAGAGAGTTCTGTTCTTATGGCATTGCCAACCTACTTAACTTCAGACCCCAACATGAAACAGAGCTTCCTGTCCTGAGGAATTCATTGTCTTTGGGGTAGAGCCCACATTCTTACATCCCTCAATAAGCCCCCCAGGGAGGGAGGGCTAAAATCAGTGGAGCCACTTGTTAGTATAACTTTCACTTAAGAGAAAGTTGCAAGAATCCGGACCGTATAAGCCTATAGATCAATCACACTGAAATGTCAGAGAACATTACCACTAATCACTTGCTAATTTCCTGAAACAGCTGATACTGTAATTGTCATTGAACTGAAGGTGTAGGATCTACTTTCTTCTGTTCCTCCACCTTAACTCAAGGAAGGGAGAGGAGGAGAAAAGAGGAGAGGGGGGGGAAAAAAAAAAAAAAAGAACCAAAAAAACTGTTCCTGCTTGCCACCCACCATAATAAAACTTGGCGAACTTCTCCCCTCTTCTGGCTCAGAGACATTAAACAAACAATTAATTGGCTTGCCTTGCCCTATTCGCCACCTTCCAAAATACAATTTATGGAGCCAAGCAGTAGCTGTTAGACAAAAAGTGGTTTTAGAAGATGAATAATTTTAAGGGAGTTTATCGTAGGTAGGAACTATTCTGCAGTCACACCACAGTAGAGGGGTTATGATGTGTGTGAAATACAGTTGGCCAACTAGGATTGAGGAAAAAATACTGCATATAACGCAATATGGAGGTTTAGAAAAATAGGTCTGAAAGGCACTTTGAGAGGTCGGTGACTCCATCCCCCTGCTCCAAAGGAGGGTGTAATTGTAAGAGTCAGGCCAGTTTTGCCACATTACTAACATATACAGAAGCCAGTGAAGTGTGGCTTTGCTTGAGTACCAGCTCTCCAGCTGTCACTACAGTCTCTTGTCCTTCAGGGTTGTCATTTCACGTTGCACCATGGCGTAACTGAGCACATTGCCATGTGCTTATTGCTTGTCCTCTGAGGGAAATCAAAACGTGCTGTTTAAGTTGCGTAGAGGGTGTCTCTGAATGTCTGTTAGATCTAGGAACCGCGCACAACCTGTTCTGCAGTCCAACGTCATAAACTTCGCAGTTAAGCCAGCTTGCCACAGCAGGAGGCACTGGGTCACACAGACTGGCCAATCCCAGACAGTACCTGTGGGTGGACAGTACTTAATTTCATGAATCTAATATTGTAACAGCCACTTCACAAAATATCGTATTTTCAGAAGAGATGCTGGTAAATACAGAGAATAGCTTCTGGGAATTAAATACAATGTTGTAAGATGATATAGGATATCAGTTAATGGACTCCAGCAGTTTTAGAAAAAACAGAGCCTGTATCCCCTGGAGGAACAGCTAGAGGAAGGTTGAGAAGTCTGAATATAAAGTACAAAATGAAATTGTTCATATTCATTAGGAGTTAGCTAGTCTCTTACAGAACAGTTTAAAAAGGCGGGGGGGAGGAGGGACTACTAGAAAGGGGACTAGATTGTTGACAGTTAAAATTAATGAACTTGGGTGGGGCAAAAGGTTTATTATTTTAAAAGTTGCTAGTGGAAAACTTGCATATAGCAGGTGGTGTGTGAAGGTGCAGGTGATGAAGGTCTGTATTTCTCTCAGACCTTGATTTCCACTACTTTAAAAGTCCTTGGGACTGTTCACAGGTTAGCTTTTCACAGGTAAAACAGCACACCTTTTCTATATGTAAGATGAGGTTAAAGACTTAGTCCTTGCCCTATGTCTGTATTTCACTTAGATGCATGATTTAAAAAAAAAATGAAGCTTTTTTAAAAAAAGAAAACCAAAAAAAAAAACCACATGCAGATAAATCTTTACAGTGTCCAGTATGGTGAAGTTACTTATATTAAAAGTAGCTTTGCCTCCCCTGTGGGGAAAAAGCTATAGCCATATATGCATGTTTATACCATAATGTACTACTGTGTAAACCACTCCATGCTCTGTCCTCTGCTGTTGTGTATATATATTGAGTTTATGAATTCCAAAATAAACTAAGAAGTAGTCACAGAAGTAATATCTTTACGATGTAAATCCTTAGAAAGAGTCACTAGCAGAGACGGGAAGATCCTTAATATATATGTACATTTTTATGACTCAGAGGAGTTCTTCAGAATTAAACTAGAGAGCCCTTAATACAAAGGAGGGGCTCACTTATATCAGGAAAGCGTGGCAAACACAAAGAACGTGCAAGTAGTAAGGTGGTGGTGGCGGCATAGTTCAGTTACATAAAGCAGGCACAGAGGGTGCTTTGTGACTGAAATTTTCTGATGGGCTGATTTCCTACTGATGATTTAAGCTGAATAAACTATAACTTAAGTCAAAGCAAAGCAACTTCTGAAAGAGACGTGAACCTCTAACTTTTTTAGAATTAACTCTTTTGTAAGTTAATGAAATCGTAGACAGAAATAATCCATCAGGCTATATTTATTAGGGTTTAACAAAAAATCTTAAAGTCCTGAAATATTAAATAACTCTGAAATAGTAAGCAAAGGCTTGTCCTAACTCTAAAATGTGTTTAATGAGTAGCAAGCTGAGTCACGGCGAACAGCAGTTTTTAATAATGAGATGCTCCAGTGCTCAGTTGAATTTGTTAGTATTTTAGTGATTTATTCAGAAAATCAGCAAATTATTATGACAAGTGCTGTTATAAAATTACAAAGGAGTGTACAAAACTGAAGGAACTTGATGGAACTGAAGGCTGATCAGATTTATCCAGGATAACGTTGAAAGAAATACGTACGAGTGAAAGTAAACGTGCCGTATAGCCTGATGTGTTGTAAATGTGCAGAAAGTGATGTGGAAGGCATGAGGAAGAATCTGGTAATAGTTTGAAAATGAAATGAGGACTCTGCATTGGTTATCTCACCATTTAAAAGATTTTGAGTTTTTAGAAAATAGTATCAGATATAGTTAAAAGTAGGGAATAAGTTATATTAGGAAGGAGTTTATCAAGAATATAGTAAAAATTATTATCCAGCTTAAGAAAAAAATCTGTTTCAAGAATAGATAGGCACATACCAGTCAAACTCTGTGATTCACTCTAATTCACTCTGTCAGATGCTATTATATTTTTAAGGACCTGATCATTTTCTGATCCTGACCGCTGAAAATTGTTGTTAAATTAAGGTGAAACAGAAGATAAAATACCATGTGTTAGCATATACGTCCGGTTGAGCACATGAAAGAATTAGGAGTTTGTAACTTAATATTTAATTGATCTAAAAGTTTGAATTTTGTATTGCCTTGGTTTGGCTTGTTTTTTTTTTTTTTCTGCAGTATCAGGGACTGTCCACAGCCAACAGCAAGGTGGCAGACGTGATTTTTGAGCAATGGGGTGATCTCTTACAGCAGACACTAAGCCCTTAGAGGACAAAGGTTATTGGCTTGTAGAGCTGAAAAACTTGTTTTCTGCTTACTACTGTACAGTTTTTAAATCTGTCCTATCAATATGTGTGCACATATATTATGAGAACAGGTGGAAACTATGAAGACAACTACTCCTCTGATTATTCTGTGACAGTAATTATATTGACAGTACCTCATAGAAATAGAAATTATGATTTGCGTTTGTATTTTGTAAAAAGAAAAAGCAGCAAACAGCAGGCAGGGCTATGATCCTGCTACTACTTCTCACTTGAAAATAAACTTAAACACAATTGCAAACAAACTGCCAATACTTCTAAAACATGTTGCCTGAATCCTACAGCTACAAAGGTTAACCAATACAAAACCCACTCAATGGGGTATATGCTGTTCTAGCTTGCTTCTTTCCTTAATTAGGATTTCAAACCGCACAAATTTCAAGCATCAGATTGGCTAACATATGAAGTAATGGATTCCAGTGACTGGGCATTTATTTAGAAGATATAAGACAGAATCCTCTATCATGCGATATCCTGTAACAGAAGACTTGTAGCTGAAACAGGATGTACATCTCACTGTGCTTGTAGATAATACATTAGTAAATGCTGTTTCATGGGTATGTGAAGAAATGAAAAAACTGATACAGATTAATTTTTACCATATTTTTTGATTAAGACTTAATCCAAGCAATAGGCCTGAATTGATATATGCAGCTAACATTTTTTGGGCTTGTAATAAGAGACAGCATAACCTTTCTGGTAAGTTGAAATAGTTGCATACAGTCCACAGTTTTCACTACATAGGTCTACATTAGGAATCTTTTAGCTACATATTATGCACCTGTCAAAAGGAAATAAAGTGTACAGAGATAACAAAGAAGTGTTGCGCAATTAGACATTGTCCTTTTCAGTCACAGTCACTACTTAAAGACATTTTTGTCTTTCAGTAAACTCTGCCAGGTGGATAGAGAAAGGTGAATTAGATACCTCGCATTTCAGATGTTGCTTATCAAAAGAACAGTCCCACTATTAAACCTCTAATGTGCAACTACAGCTACATTTTTTTAAAAAAAAACAAAGATTTCTGAAGTTGGACTGTGTACTTCTTCAGCTATCATCAAAGTATACTTTCTGGTTCTGTGATCGGGGTGAATTTATCAGCAAATACCCTTCCCTATCACTCCTCTAGTCTTCCTAGTAATAGTTTAGTAATAGTAGCTGTTGGAAGGCCTCTGCTCCCACAATACTGCCCTTCGGACTCATAGCTGTAAGGGCAGGTACCTGTTCAATAGCAGTGATCAAATAGTCAAGTACGTAGGCCATACCTTCAGGATGTATTCCTCTGCACAAAGAAAATCTTACAGAAAAAGATAAGGAAGAACATTTGGAAGGAAATGTTACCGCACAAGTTAAATTCTCTATAAAATGTGTTAAATTCTCTATAAAAATTCTCTATAAATTTGTGTATATATATGGCCTCTCACCAGTTTTGGAAGGAAAAAAATCTCACACAAATGGCCTAGTAGATATTTCAAGAACTGAGTCTAGCTGATGTCAAACATACTCACAACTTTTCAGCCTTCCACTTTGTGGAATCCAGGCTGCTGCTTTTCAGGTTCAGAGCTTGTGTCAGAAAAGAGCAGTTTTACTTGCACAAGTTTATAAATCAAGCCACAAAACTTTTGCACACCTGCAGAGTGTATCACTGGTAGCACATTTACCTTTGCTAGCCCTCTTCTTTCATGTAATTGCTGCCCATCAGAGCAAGGTTGCTAAGAGAGCTCATTTTACTCTTAATTTTGAAGCGCAGGATGCTGTGACTATGACATCTGTGCCACCTAGCGGTGTGATAGTAAATTCTATAGTCAAGTCAGATAAAAGACTGGCTCTCCTGGACCCATCCACAGACAAATAGCAAGATATTTTAAGTATATAAAAACATCATAAATAAGTACTAGCGAAACTGTACATATTTATAAATTTTAGACTCCAGAGGGACTGGTTGTCTTTCAGCCAGTGGTACACAGAATCATTTACTGATGCACATCAGATAGCAATTGCAGTGGGTTGGAGGCTAGTATAAAATGCGTCATGATAATAAAATTCAAAGCAAATGCATCTTAATAAAATAAAAACCCATAAAAATAAACTTGATATGTATAGGAATACTTTTTAAAGTACCTCAGTTGCAGGTTTGGCTGGACAGAAGAATCACCTCAGTAATACGTATTTGTCAAAAAGACATCTGCAATGTAGAAATCATTAGGAAAGTAACTGAGAATAAAATTTGTATTACTATACCACTGTATAAATTCATGATTTTCCCATTTTAAATTCTGTGGGAAGGTTTCATTACTCTTAAAAGTATGCAAAGATACAGAGAGAAAGAAGAAAGATGATTGTTGATTTGACACTCATTCGTTTAAGTGAGGCTGTGTGTGTAGACTCGTCAGTTTGAGGGTCGGTGTCATCAAAGCCTACAGAGTCCTGATGGAGATGGTAGTAGGGAACAGGAACACCTATTCCTGGCTCCTCTTGCAGTACATTCACCTGGGCTACATAGTCTGCCTATCAAGCATCAGATTTAAAACCAACAGGAAATAAAGGAAATAATAGTTTTTCCCACAACACTCTACAGCTCCAGGCTGCTATGGAGACCAGAAATATAAATGCCCTAAAAAAACCCCAAAGAACAAAACTCATCCAGATTCATCCTTCGGCTCAGGGAATCCCTGAATCATAGCCAGTTGATGGTTGGGGAAGGATGTGCATGCAAGGGACCGCTCCACATTTGCCCTGATTCTTACTTTTTCCCTGAGCATCTGTTATTGGCTACTGTCTAGTTTTAGAAAGACACAACTCATCTACCAAATGAGTACAGAGCATGTCACTGTCATATCAGAGCAGAGACGATGTCCACTGCTATCTCACAGTCATCCTGTTAGCCTGCTCGGCACAAGTAACAGCATCCCACACCACCCAGAAACTTTTCAGCTCTCCTGTGCTTTTTGACTCACCTAATCTGGTACTTCTCATACTGATCTTAAGCTATCAGTTATTCACCATTATGCCCATAAAACAAAGTATTTTAGAAAATATGTTACATAAAAGCTTTTTTCAAATATAGGCAAGGCTCAGGGAGAAGCCCTAAACAGACTGAGAAGCAGGTTGGGAACCCCCACCTCTTTGTGGTATGACCTTTGCATTCAGAACCCTGCCAGTGAAGAGGAATTCTGCGCTTTTTTTAAACAAATTGTATTTATAGCTTTGGAGCACATTCACACTCTGAATTCTGACAAGCAGAATACCAACCACACATTGCCCCGCTCCAAAACAAATTGTGAAGTTTTTCACCAGACTTGCAGGACTTCATAGGCCCTACTTCTAATAAAAATGACTTTAAAAGGCTGTTTATGTTTAGCTTCAGTTTATTTAAATGCTTGGCTGCCTCCTTGCCTGTAATCTTCTCCCAGCTAGGCTAGACCTGATTCATTTCAGGAATCAAGGCGAAGGCCAAGATGAGACTTTAAAAAACTTGTAATATTGCTAGTAGATATTTACTGTATCAGATAAGAGAATTAGTCACTCACCTTAAGGCATTTGAAGAAGATGGCATCTTACATAGAAAATTATTTTCAGTGGCTTTCCTAGGCCTTCCTAAAATTCAGGACATGGTGTAGGTCTTGCTAAAATGGAAAGCAGGTATTTGAAACTGCTAAGTGTAATAAACTCATCTGATGTGATGCTCCTTGGTGGCACTGGAAAGACAGCAATTGATGTCAAAGGAATTGGACTGTGCCTTGCTCATACTAGCATTTACAAAAGTCAGCCATAAACCAGGGAATGGACTGGTTACCATTCTTTTCTTAGATTCAAAAAAAAAAAAAAAAAAAGAGTTATTTCTGTTTTGAAGACAGGATCCTAATTAGCCCTAATTAGCCTTAAATTTTGCGCGTGATAAATCAGAAGTGCCAAATAAATAGTCACTTCACCCAGCAACCTCAAAAATCTTTAATGTCTTGACTGTTTCAGCATTATTTTTATGCATTTGTAAGAAGAACCAACACGTAGGAGAACAAGAGTGCTCCAGTTCAATGCTGGAATCATCTCGGTCAACTAAAAATCTGCTATCTGGGAGATCATTTCCTTTCTCCTCAAAACATGCTGCAACAAGCAAACAGCTAAGGGTAGTCAAAGCTTTGAAAGTCCAGTAATGACAGCTGCCAGCAAAATGTGTTTCTAAACTAAGGAGTAGACAGCTCTGGACTTGTTTCTGGAGACCAATTTACTTCTTGGATTATAATCTGAGTTTCAGTATCTAAACATACAATTATTAGACCTTTGCTAGAGGAAACATGCATCAATTGGCCTGGTCTCCTCCGAAGAGTTAGACATCTCTTTGCAGACAGTATAGGATTTGAGGGGTACAATTAAGCAACGAATACAGGTCTAAATCTTTGCTCCTGGGTTCTATAAATTGACAAGAAAGAAAAACAGCAGCCAAAACTTGAACCTTAAAGAATTTCTCAGACTGAAGTAGTTGAAAGCTCAACTTTTAACTCTGAGGAGAGAGGAGCAAACTTTCCCATCTATAACCAAGGTCATTTTACAGCAGATTCATCTGATTTTCTGCTAATTCCAAAAATAAACTCACAAACGTTGATCTGAGATTCTGGGCTTGGCCAGTCTTTTCTCTTCCTATAACTTGCAGTCGCAAATCTAGATCTCTGTTTTGAAATGTAAACTTGGATTTTCTGATGTAATTGCAAAACTGAAACAGTGAGGGATGTGAGACAAAACCCTGACCTGCAAGCCATACGCATTGCCTCAGTGAACCCCATCTTGGATCCATGGGTTTACATCCTCCTCCGCAAGACTGTGCTCAGCAAAGCTATTGAGAAGATCAAATGCCTCTTTTGCCGAATCGGAGGAGCTCGGCGGCAGCACCCCGGGGGCAATTTCAACTGCGTGGATGGCCGCAGGACCTCCTCTGCCATGTCCAGTCAGTCACCTTCCTTCATCTCACGTGAGCTGAGGGACATCAGCAGCACCTCACAAACACTGCTCTATCCTCTAGAGTTAAGCGAAAGCAGCACGGGGGGTCGCATGCTGCTTCCAGGCCCCAGTGCAACCTTGGCTCAGTCTGACACTACATCCGTAAGGACACTGCGCAGCTCAGAGACCTCAGACTCTTCACAGGGGCAGGACTCTGAGAACATCTTCTTGGTGAATGAAATCCAGCCTGGCAGTGGGGCTAGCTCCACATCCAAGGGCAGCCCTCTCCAGGTCACCTTCCCCCCCGAGACGTTGAACTTATCAGAAAAGTGTATATAGCAATGAAAGCCATCAACCCGGATGATCCTTCCCGGTACATTGGAAAAACTGGTGCAATAGATAGGCGTTTTACCTATTCAAGGGGAGAGGGGTTCAGCTATGCTCCAAAGGGCTATTTTTCTCTTGTCATGTGATGGGTACATTTCTTTTAGACTACTGAGGACTGCATGGAACAGACACTGCACTTGTCCCTGTTATCAGAAATTGTGCAAAACAGGTCTAACAGGACTGGAAGCATGAACTGTCTTGTTCCTGGACACAGGAGAGCTACAGGCTCTGGAAGTAGAAAAATCCATCACCTGTTTTTCTTTATCTGTCCAAATCTGGTAGAACGGTGTTTTCTCTCCCTGTGGCTGCTTAGCTATCAAGGTTTTAAGCTTCTGGTACTAGAGCTAAAGGTGAAGCAGCTACTCTGAACTGTACAGAGCGCTACTCTAGCAGCTATCCGGGGTAGGATTTTAAAGTGTCTCACTAAAGCATGAAAATGTGAATTTTTACTGTTGTATATGTCAGGATTGAAAATATTTAAAAGTCTATTCTTCTCTATGAGAAGGTTTCGTATTAATACAAGGTATATAGAAATGATTGCCAGCTTTCTCTTCCCCCAGTGTTGCCTGCTGAGAAGACATTCTTGTTTTAGATTTGTTGTCCATGGTAGATTCACAAGCTGATGAGAGTTAGTTCTCTATAAAGGAATAAATAAAAACTTTGAGTGAAATGGGAACACGTGCTATTAAGAGAGAAAAAGAAAACACATCCTTTCAGTTAAAAATATTCCTTTTCAGTATATGTACATACTAGAAAGATTTTATTTATGTGCTGAGACTGTTCCTCTGTATAACACAGCAGCTCCTCTTGGAGCACTTCGGCCCACATTCTGCACACACTTAACATTGCCCAACTAAGTAGTCTCTCTGCTGCCAGGGTGACTCCTTACACGTAAAGTTAAGGACAGACAGAAGTGCTTTTAATATCAGGGCCTAAAACTTTCAATCCCTGATTAATAGTCTTAATATTCACTTTAGCTAAAACATCACTGATGTAATAAAGGTATTTTTTCATAGCATTTATCATTTTATTTTAAATAGTAAATAGAATTTTTATGTCTGTGTAATCTGATATTCCATCAAATAAACATACAAAACCATGGAAGCAGAATCTTCATTTACAAGTATAGATTATAGAGAACCTTATCCTTATCTTGGACCCCTTGAAAATTACTTGTTCCTAGAGTTTTAATGGCAAACACATCACAAAAAATAACTGTTAATTAGTGACAGAAAGCTTCGTGTTTTATTTTGCAAGGGTTAGATCTTGTTCCAGAAAAACTGTTTTATCAAAATCACTTTCTGTACCGATATTTATGTTTTGTCAAATACTAAGCATGTTATGCTGCTTACAGTGTTTTCATGTGAAATGCTTTATTGTAATGAAAATCTTGAGCCTCATGTTGATATGCTTAAGCAGTTGTATTGACTAAAATAATTTTGGAGATCACAATTAAATGGAAATGTTCTGCTTGATCTCAGAAGTTTATGCAAGTCTGCCATTCAGTGCCAACTCCTCACCTTAATAAGCCACCCATTTCAGAACACTTCGCCCTTAGCTACTGTCAAAACATACTTTGTTCTGCAAGTTTCCAAAACACCACAGCATGATCACCATCAGAATGAGGAAGCTATCTTCTAAAATTCCCCTGAGGGCATTGACACAGAGCCAAGAAAAGTCTTCACACAATAAAACAAAAATGATCAATGTATTTTCCATTAACAAGGCAGCAGTTAAGCTTTATTTGCTTGGATACATGGGGAAAGTGAAGTTACATCTCCGCACAGATATTTGCACCAGAAGTCACTGTTCACCGGATAAGGTGGAGAACAGTATTATCCACATTTCTACTGAAGCTAAAGATCTGTTCAAATTCTGTGCAGTTAAACTACTCAGCTATGGTCTATTGCTTTACTCGTGACCAACAACTAGAATACACTTACTGTATTTGAGCCAGGCCTATATATTACTGATGAAAAATAAATGCATGTGGTCTGGAAGAGTTTTAAGCAAGAGTAGGGCATCTTAAGTAGCTGACCTTCTAGCATAACATGTTTCTTAGCAAACATGTATGATAAGCCTGTGGTCATTTTCCTGCCCGCAGCATTAGCTGGTATGTCAACAGTGGACTGGATGCATAGCATACAGGGTATCATCATTAATTCCCTCAATACTGAACTCAAGGACTGCCAATCAACCTGCAGATGAAAAAGTTTCCTGAGGAATAGTGTTATTATCTAGGAGAACTCAACATCAGTGCACAAGGACAAAACAGGGAGCATCTCTAATGCTTAGTTACAAACATGGATGGATGTTCAGAAATAGTCTAGCTAAAAGGACGGGGCAAGTGTGCTTTTGTTTAGGGTGACACACTGCATATCCCTCCCTCCCTTGCCTGCCAGTCCCAATCAGCTTTGGAACCTTCCTCCATTCTGACACTATACAGACCATGAGTAAATTATTGAATTCTCTCCCTCAGCTTCCCTTCAGTTAATATTTAAGTCCAGGAAAATAATAAGTAAATAAACTGCAGGTTTGTAGAAATTACTGACACAAAAAAAGTTAAAATAATAGGTTATTTTCCTGCTAGGCATTACATATAGTTTTCATACTTTTGAAAGGGCTTCCTTTCTCATGCATAATAGCTCCCCTTCCACTCCCCACCTCCCAGAGATGCATATAGCACTGACATAGCCTGCCTTCCACATCTGCATCCACTTTCCCCAGCCCTCTAAGCATTCATTAAAAAATACTCATTCGCTACTCAAAACTTTTATCCCAAATTTACATCTCCTTGACTCCATCCTGCTTAGTCCCATCAATACCAATCCTGCACCCTCACTTACAGCAGTACATAACCTCAACCACAGCTTCACAAAAGCCTTTCCATCAGCAATACTGCTAGACGCCTCCCCTCCAAGTCCTGTTCCCCAAACCCCAGTCCTAACTCAATCTGAGCCCATATGCTGTAGAATGGCTTTGGAGAATCTACCCACCGTAGGCAGGATGAGAGCCAAGGTCTGTAGGAGACAGTGGAGACATGAAAATGCGTTAAGTTTGTTTGAATTCCTGATCAATAATATAGGCTACCATTAGGGTTAGGCCTGCCTTTAGGGTTGAAGATATACTGACAGAGGGCTTGGACTGTAAGGGTGGGGCTGTAGGAATCTGTAATAAACCAAACCTTTGCACCTCTGTTGTCTGCAACACTAGCGCCACTTAACCCAAATCAGTGCTACAGGTGCAATGCCAAAGCATTAACAGTATGACTGTAATCCACTACCTTCAAATGGCATCAGCCATCATCCTAACCATGAAGCCTCCTATGAAGATTTGTAGTCCCGGTTCTGGTCCTAGACACAACTGCAAATCTAATTTACATAGAGCAGATTTAATATTAAAGCTACTAAATACCATCAGACCTTGCCACTTCTAGGCCTTGCTCTAGAAGTGTCAACTTTAGCAGGTCTGGAAACGAACTACAGTCTAAATCCCCTGCTCTTGGAACCCAAATCCTGGAACTCACTCCATATATCTGAGCTTTCCCCTTGATCATTTACTCTTTACAATCCATGCAGCTCCTGCAGTCACTGCACTTGCAAACCAGCCCTCCTTAGAGCCAGGCTGGTACATCTAACAGGATTCAGCAATAATCCACACTCGTAAGCGTCTCTTGCTTCTAAACTACTCCTCTCTGGATATACTACAGGTGAAGGACTCCAGTCCATTTGAGAACATGGTGTTAAATGGCACTGACCTTTACAATAATCATATATTATGTGCAATCTGCCAATAAACTGAGCCCTTAAACTTCTGTTTTCTTTAGTCACAGTCCCAACTACTGTTACATTTTATAGCCATTACATGACCCAGAAATTAAGAGAGCACTTGTGCTCAACACTACTAGCTTTGTACTTACCTTATGTGGCCAGGCAGAGTTTTCAATGCTACCTCTCTCTCATCTTGGTCCCAATCACTACCAGTTATTTGAAGACGACTATTAGGGACTAGAAGACTAAAGGAAACCTTTAAGTTTCCTTTTTTGCTCCTCAACTACTTTTAAAATCTAATGTTTCATCATGTTATCAAATTAGTCACTGTTGTGTTACCTGAACAACTTTTCTTTATCCATACTTTCTTTCTCATCTAATATCTTCAGAAAGTATCTGTTCTCTCTCAGTATAACTTACAGACATTTATCTCAGTCTGCAAGGGTAGAATTCATCCGCCCTGTTTCAGCGCCTAAAATTATCACTCAGTCACCTTAGGCTTCCTTTGTAGTCAATGGAAATAATTAGGCGCTTTGGGAGGCTGATTCATCTCATTCTAAGATAGTCATCTAACATAAGGCATATGCCTCAGAGGAATGGTCCTCTGAGGCTGTGTATTTCTTTCCACTGAATATAAAGGGATTCAAAGGAGAAAATTCAGATTTGACTGTTAAACTGCAGATGTTTAAAGTTAAGCAAAACGAATCCCACCTTAACTACTGTTGTCACTGAAATTTCCTCTTTAACTGTGCTGTACCACTTTGTTAAGTATTTTAGCATATGATTCCCATGGAAGGGAGCTATACTGGGGCAACTGCAGCCATTGACACTAGCGATGATGAAGAAAAGCAAAAACCCCTTCTGGTAAAGTGTGAATGTCACTCATAGGTGTTCTACCTTCTTCTTTGGGTCTCTCTCATTTGAGTATCCTTCAGTGGTTTAAAAGGGCTGAGCACTACTTTTTACTAAACACTTTTCCTGAGATGTTTTTGTTTTTTACTATAACACATTAACATGTTCAGAAACAAACAAACTAAAAAGCAGCTAATTAAATGAATAATACCCTAAAAGTCTATGGTAACCCCTACTCTTGTGAAGCCCAAAGAATAAACAGGCATCACCAAGCAGCAGAGAGGCCAATATTTTATTCAAACAGATCCAAAAAATCCCGTATGTGCAAAACACGACATGCTATACAAAAAACAGATGTCAAACTTCCCAGGTTGAGAATAACTTAGTCACAAGAACTTAGCTGCTCCCTGTTACAAGACATTAGGCTATGAAGTCTAGGTATTGTCATGACACTAATCTAGTCAGAACAAAAACACGTTCAACAGGAGCTTTGTGAATCATTTCAGTGAGAGCAGGTTCAGTGGTAACATGGACCTCTGACAGCATGGAGGCAAAGTCCTAACTGTACAAGCAAATACATAACACACTTAAGCATAAGAAGGCAAAGAAAGAGATGTGTTAGATTACAGCCTACCTCCTTCAAAAAATGAGAACACATACCTTACGGCATCTTGCACATACCTTCCTCTAGCCACAGGATGTCTCTTCTTGGAAGAAATCTGTCCACAGCCTTTTCATACTAACTCTTCCTTTGGCTACCTAGATTGTCTAATTTGTTAGGAAAAATTAGATTAAGAAATTCTTCAACAGGGACAATTCTAAACTTCTATCAAACAGTATGTTAATCAAATGTCTATTCAATAAGTATTTAAGGATCTATTCTAGAACTGAACAAACAAATGAAAATGTAGCGTTGTGTTGTGTTTTACATAAAATGTTTTTAACATATTTTAGTCACTGTAATTATTTTGAAAACTTGAGATGTTAAAAAGTGCAAGTTATGTGTGTATCTGCTTACAAATCTAAAAATTACTACATGTACAAAAATAAATCCAAAAAGAAACTTGCAGAAATTAATGAAAACACAGTAATATCAGTACAGCACCGCAATTAAATCTTTGAAAGGGACAATCTATTTCTGTACAGACTGTAGATGTCCTCTGAAGAGTTGGAAGATTCAAATGAAACTATGATCTGAGCTAAATGATTTTTCTATAATACATTTACTATTGCAAAAAGCAATAGGCTTCTCCAGCAAAATGCTATTTCCTTTCAAAAAGTATTTTTAAACATTTTAATTTTTAATAAAAATTAATTTTTAATACAAATCAAATATTAAAAAGGCAAAGAGGACTGATTTCAAAAGGTTTCCCTTGGCTGCAAACTTGTCTTTGTCATGCAAATTTAGCAAAATTAAGTGGAAATGATGAGTCCCCAAATAATAATATATATCCTGAATTCTCTGGGAATTCCTCAGTTGACCATTTTTTCCAAAAGTGTCTTTGATTCATAGTCACTGTAACACTTGAAATGCACCTGTATATTGTATAGACATTTAAGTAAGCTTAAATGTGCCTGAAAATTAACAAAAGCTGAAATCTAGTTTCGTTCAAGGAGGTAACTTCAGGAAAGTCAGATTTTCACAAGGTGGCAGTTTCTAATTGCCTACTTTCATACATGCCAAAGCGGCAGCCTAGTTAGGAGGTTAGTTCTCTCAAATGTCTCCACAGAGAGTGAAAAGAGGGCAGTCTCAGCCAAGAGCAATTGAAGGAAGTAGCGCGACTGTTTCTCTGAACTGCCCATGAGAGGAACCAACCATCATCTTCTCTTGAAGGTGGAGACTAGGCAAAGAAACCTCCTGAGTTATGCATCTATGTTAACACAATGTGAATACCCTCCACACTATCCAAACTCCAAAAAGATTTAAAAGGGAGACTGAGCCAATGCTGTCCTGAACAACTGGCGTCCTATGAACACACTATCAATAGTGGGGTCATAAGAACTCTGAAAAAGGGAAAAAACAAACAAACAAACAAACTACAATCAATTCCCTTCATAGGATTTTCTGCATTACTGGGGAAGAAAAGGATAAAAGTAATACACTTCAGAGATGTAACTATTTCCAGCTCCTATCATTTTACTTCAGGTGCTGTCTGCAGTGCAGCATTTAAAATAAGGAAAGTCTAGACTTCTGAGACCAAGAGAACAAATCACACTTGAACTGGCTGATGAATGTTAATGATTGAGGACTGCAATATAATATTTAAAACACATTTCCCTTTTTGTTTTGTATTTTAAATTAGAGCTGATTAATTACTGGGAAAAGGTAGATAGTACCTTGTAAAATTATTAAATACAGTTAGATGAGAGATTCTGTTATAATGTAGTTAGGCATTTTAACATTAGTTTGTTCATGGGATTTTTAAAACCAGCTCTTAGCTTTCTTCTCCAAAAGTACGAATGGAAAAAGAATTCAGGTTCTTGCTCTTTAAAGAGAAAAATAGCTTCAATCAAATCAAAATTCTCAAAAGAAAAAACAGCTTCTGTTGTAGGCTCCCCAACTGATTAATAAAGAAAAAAAAAAGAAAAAGAAAAAACCTCAACATACAATAAATAACACTAGTTCTCAAAACAGTACTGGCAACATACCAGGCTACCCTATCGGGCTCTGATAAAAATGGTATCATCAGGAGTTGTAGCACAATTTTCCTTATCAGTAACAGTCTCTACAGTGCCTGAAGCAGACACAATCACTACAGTTTTAGCTGCTGACAGAGCTTTTTCCTTCTCTGCGATGGCAGCACAGACTGCCACAATCTCATCACTTTCAAAGTCATAGTCTGGGATTGATTCTTGTGCAAACTCTTTTGCTTTTGCCAGTGCTTGCATTGCCTCAGTCTTTGTTGCCTTCTCCTGCTGTTCATGGAGTTTTCTTGCCCAAGAAAGGTCCTCTTTCCACACTTCAGGGTTCATTGGGAAGATGTGTAAGGATACCTGAAAACTTCTGATTGCCTAGAAACAGAATAGGGGAAAAAAACAAAGATTGGAATCTTTAAAGCCTGCATATTTCATCACAAAAATTAACTGGAGAATCATCTTCCCAAAGACAAAATGATTTTATTCCAGTCTGTCTTTATTGGAACATCCTCCTCAGCTGTAAGTTCAATTACAGTGTTATCCCCAAACAACTGTGTGTATAAGCGTCTGAAAGTACCAAGGATGAACAAAACAGATAGTGGGCAACAAAGGCAAAAATATGAGTTCCCAAATGTAGACACTCTAGCAACAGACGGCATTTAAAACGAAGCCCCGAAGAAAATATTCCTTCTTTATTTTAAGTGAAAATTTGGAACAGATTTGAAATATTTAATGAAAGAATATATTTGATACATTTTAAGGCCGCAACTCCCTTCACAAATATTAGGCAACCCAATGTTACTGCCAAAGGAAGAATATTAGACATCAACCAACTCAAACAGATATACCCCTTAGATATATTTTCACTGTTCATATGAAAGAGTGAAGAAATGCCTGAAAGTGCAACATAGATAAGTTTAGATGTTGAAAAGAGTGGCTTTTCCATATAACTTAAGTATTTTGAAAGGACTTATCATATGACCTTTTCATTCCAACAAAAACATGTCAAAAATAACATTCTAAGGGGGAAAAGCCAAATTCACTTGTTTTCATAGTTTTCTATCCCAGTTTTTCTACTATCATCAGATACACAGGAGGGTGTGAGCAGACAGATATAGTTTGAACAAATACAGAAATGGGACAACTGGGATGGGAAATTTCACCACTATTGCTCCTTTTAAATTAGCATGCAGTCATTAAACATATAGATCTAATACTACAGTCATCCATGCCTGTGACAAGCAGTTTCTGTAAAACTGAGCAAACAGGTTACATTCAACCTCAACAAAAAGTACACAGATGAACCCCCCACTTTGAGAGTTACTCTAAGAAAGAGCTCCTATTATCTTATAAATCATCTAGTACTAATACAATTAATTATTTAATTATAGTTGAGACTCTTTCTCTTCCCAATTTAGATGAGTTGGAACAAAAACGTCCCACAAATACAAATACTCAACCCAGAAGTTGTTAAAGCTAAAAAAAAAAAAAATCTAATGAAGCAAGCATGGCATTCAGCAGTAATAAGATAACACTGGAAGAATGCTAGACCAAAACTTACTGCTATATTGGATTTTTAGTTATATTAACAGTGAGAAGGTCAACACTGACTATCTACTCTAACTTATACATGTACAAACACACATGTATATTTTTCATATTTACAATTTCTAGTCAGTTATGAAAGTGGCCATCTGAGTGACCAATTCTTCCTGTGGGGTAGAAAACCAGTGATGATACTGCTGGATCATAGTTAAGATTTTCATATAAGTTTTTTCATAACTTGCATATAAAGACTTAAAGACATATGCACAACCACTGAATGCCATATTCTTCTGTAATTTATAAATACTCAAAGCATGCAGATTAATTTCAAAAAGCAGTACAACAGAAACTGCCAATGAATGTTTCTCCTACCACAAAGCAGTATGTGAACTCTGTATTACATGAACTGAACTTAGCACAGCAGACAAGACATACAGATCTCTGATTTCTTTTAAGAAATGCTGATATGCTATCAGTATTACTGCTGTCATAAATGACAGCCATTCACTTCCAGGGGAAAAAAAAAAAATCCTTTGCTGTTGGCTTACAGGCAGGTCTGAAGTGTAGGAGCTTGCTAGACTTAAGACATAAGGAAGAGTACAGTTTAATTCTTGCAAAACTGTTTTTTTTCAACTTTGCTGGCTTTTAATTTCAAGGGACAGATGAGTTAGAAGTAAACACTAAGTGCTCTCTTTTGTCTTTTTTTTTTTTTTGTGAACACAAAATATAAACAAACACCATCCGCTTTTAAGCTTTCCAGGGAAGAGGCCTCCCACTTAAAACTTGTCTGCACACTAAGCAACGCCAAACAAAGTAATCAAATATAGATTAAAATAAGGCAAAGATTCACAAACAGTAATGCTTTATCTAATAAACTGAGAAGCTGCCTTGACAGTTCATATGGATACAGCATTTAACAATCATCACTGTAAGTCTATTTGGGAAAAGATTTTGCATGTGACATTATTACAGAAAGGTGTAAACACATTTTAAGAGGTGCAAAAGATTAGAGGCATAAGCCTTAAAGCACCAGTGCAGTACTGAAAAATGGAGAACTGTCAAAAATTTGGAGTATTTCATGATACCACTGCAACTGCTTCCAGTTATTAATTTCTATTCTGACAAAAGAACTGAAAATCCAGAAGTGCACTCACACCTAACTGACATAGATAGCTCTTAATTTACTATCTGATCTAACCATCCATCTGGAACATGCCAGATAAAAGGTAAAGAAGTGATTTATATTCCTATTTTTCATCCAGTTTATAATTTTAATCATTACAGAGTACTGCTAAAAGCTAATTTTTCAGGACCCTATCACTGTACTAAACCCACTCACATGGGTCAATTCAAGAGCTACTTTTACTTCATGTCTGCACCAGCAGGGGAATCTCTTTATCTCTTCATCTTACTCCAGTTGCCTATCTGGCATTATAGGAAAGTGTTATGGCACTGGATACACTAGATATTTCAAGCCCCATTTCAACGGGCAACTGTCATCTCGGAGTCTAAGGACTATGAGATTTTAAATCAGTAGGCACTCATGCTTTTGCTTTTACATCTACAGGGCGAAAGACTGCAATACATTCTTGCTTTCCGAGTTAAATATTTGAAGGCTTCATATGTTCAAAATACTTTACAGTTCATCTCACTACTGGGTATTTCCATAGGAAACAATCATCCTCTTTAATTTGTCTCATGACCAGGATCTCCTCTGTTGATTTGCAATCTCCTCAAAGTAAAGGTTAGTTTTGATCAGACGACTGTTTTTATCATGTATTATTTATACACAGAGCTAGGAATTGTCACCATACAGTGACCCTTTCCCCTGAAAAAGGGTTAGGGAGCATCTCAAGACTTTATGTAATTCACATCTGCCCTAAGGCTTATTTTAGGCCTTTATATTATATCTGATAGCTGTCTATCAGACCTGCTTTAAAGGTCGTCCAACAATGGGGATTTACATATACCTATAGTTAATTGTTTAATAATCCTTACAGATAAAATTTTTTTTGCAATATCCAACATATTTTGCCTCAATTTAAGCCTGTTACTTCTTGTACTACTCACAATGAATATGAATAACCCACTAATTCTTGCAGAAACCTTTAATATGTTTAAAGACATTGGCCAAGTTCCTCATTAAATCTCCTCTTTAAAAAAAAAATTCTTTCAGATATTCTCACTTTAGTTTAAAAGTTTATGTAGTTTGGCCTGTATGGTAAATATGCTTATTTATCTACTTAAACAGGCTAAACTTTTCTATACAAGATTTCAGCTTCTTTCTCTTCTCTTCAAAAAAACAAAAAAATCATTCACTGAAAATTTCTTTTTCATCCAAAAAATTCTTCCACCCTCAAGAATGAGGTGACTCTTATTGTCTTGCAGCGCGCAAGTCTATTCTAAGTGCTGCTATTTTCACACAATGGAGAAATGACCTGAAATACAGTAGGACATTTTCCAGATGTGAGAGATGAGATTTTTCCATTAAACCTATTGGAATTTGGTCAAGTTATAAACCTATAAAAAAAATCTTGTTTCCCACATATTTGGTAGAAGTCTGTGAGATGATGGCAACTTAATTCTCCTATGCTGAACACTTTCCACCGCAGAGAATTTACACTGACTGGATTAGGATGCATCATCCCCACTGAGTGACTCAGCACGCATCCTCCCGCTTCCCATCATCGCAGTGTGCGACGGCTGACACAAGAGGCCAGAGGACGTGGGTCTGGCTTGTCTCAACCTGGAAGCATGAGATGAGAGTAAGCATAGCGGCCGGTGATAACAGACAGAAAAATTCTCCTTAGTGTCCTCGGCCCTGGACATACACCTCAGTACAAATGAGAGCTTCAGATCATTTATCTAACAGCCACTTTAAGTTTCTTTTCAAGCTGCTTATTCCTTGCTCCTGTAATTTCCTTCTTCCTCTTCTTTTGACAAAGGCACAGAAGTTGCTACCTACTCTTTCTACTCTTCTGCTCCAGTGATGTGCTCCCGTTTCCCAGGTCTCCTTTTGCACCAACTCATTCCTGCCTGGAGCTTTCTTTCACCACAGTGCTTGTTGCCTGTCTGTCTTCATACTTCAGTGAGCGTCTCTACAAGGCATTGCCGGATGCTCTGTAGAAGTAACTACTTTAGGCTGGCTCAGAACTTGGAGAACTATATGCTATGCTCTACTACACGCATAAATGTACTCCACCTCGACCAAGGGAACAGAAGATCTAGCACACTGTAGAACTTGACATATTTAGCCCAGCAAAATAAAGCCTGAAGCGATATATCTGCTCTCAATTCATAAGTCACTAAATACCAAGGAGGATGAAAGATGTTTACTTCCCTATTACTAAATTATACTGCTGAATTATTACAAGGATTTTTAAAGTAATGGTAAAACAACCTCCCCCATCACTGTTTGTCATGAACGCTGGATCTCATTCAGCTAACACTTAATTACAAAGTCTAGATGTTAGGAGGATATCATCGGCATGATTAGAGCCTCAAAAGTTCTAAGCAATTGAAAGAATAAGCGTCAGCTAGTTTCTCAAGAATGCTATTAGCTCTGCTAGAACTGTATCCCTAAGAGCTTTTAAAATTTTCAAATTCTGCTTGCGCTTATTTGTTGACTGAAAATAAAAAAATTGGATAGCTCTGAGTAAAGCTAGCTCTAGTACTACTAAGTAGGATCGTTTGACATATTTTTTATAAACAAATAGAAAAAATGTCTTTTATCAAAACCTGGTAAGAAAAACAGTACGATTTAGTGTGAAACAATAACTATAAACTAAGTAATAAAAAATTCTAGACCAGAACTATAAACACATAGCTATTTTTAAAATGGAATTGCCTCTTTATTTTCAATTATGCATGCAAGCACCTGCTATATTAACATAATAATAAACACTCCATCACTGGGCTTAAATAATTGACTATAAAATAACTCACATTGTGTTGTCCTTAGAAGGAAGATTATTGCAGGAGTTTACTTACATATTTTAATCTCATACAAGTCTATAAAAAAACACTGAGTTATCCCCTCAAGTTGGCAAGAACACAATCTGAAGCACAGACTTGATTGCTTTTCGACAGAAAGCCATCTACTCTGAAGTTAAAGACTGCAAGCCATGCAATGCTTTACATTCCTTTTGAGTAAAAAAACTTTGTGTCTCTACACACTTAAATTATTTTCATTTTGAAAATCCTCTCAAATCCAGAATTAGAAGTTTATAAGAGTAATATATAAAATATCACACAGTAATTGTCTAATATCGATCACAGCTTTGTGTACAGCCAATATCTGTGGCTGATAGCTGAAATATGGATTCAAATAAAATGCAGTAATTCCTCTTTGCTAGTACATAACTCCCATCTTTACATAAAAGAGCTGATGCTCCATTTCTTTGAAGTGAAATAACAGCAAAGGGTTGATCTGAGGATTCACATTCTCAAAACTTTTCTTTTACAAAATTCAATACCACGCCTGTAACACGCTAAAATTCACCACTAACTACTTAATAATACAGCAAACCACATTTTTCAAAATAACAGGGAGAAAGGATGCACAATATGTTCATATTTATGCATCCACACAGTTAACCTTGTAATCTGAAATATCACAGATTTTACATCAAGACCCCAGTCCACAATGGGGTGAACTCTGTGGAATTACTGCCTCTTACCAAATGCACATACATGCAGAAATTCCTGTTTTTAAGCACTAGAATTGACTTAGCTCCTTCACTAAATTCAGAAAAAGCAATAGCAAACAGCTTTTCCAAAAGTTAAAGAAAAAGAGGCTAATATCTCTCACTCTGCTTCGGTCCCAAGTTGCCCAAAAATAGAATAAGGGAATTCTTTCTTTGGCAATAAACTGATATACTATATACTCTATATAATATAGATTAGATTTCTTTGGAACCTGTATTTTAGGCAGAGGGAGCTTGAAATGAAAATACAGTAAATCGTTTTTTACTAAGAAAAGTGATTGTTCATTGTGAAGCAGTAAAAAATTTCAACAGACCACTTAGCAGGATGTGGGTAATGAAGAAAGAGACATACAGGAACTGAAATAAAGAAACAGAAGAAGCTACTCTTGAGAAAGGTGGCAATTCCCAAATCTCAAACATTAGAGAAAAACTTGGTATTTATGCTTTATTAACTTTTCTTTGTAAAAATTGTAATGCAGGAAACCATAGTAATAAAAGGCTAATGAGAAAAGTTTAATAATGACTTTAAGAACTTGGTCAATAAGTTCAATATTTATGAAATCATTTAACTTTTCAAGACTCCTCTAATCTTAACCTTTTAAGATTGCCTAACAGTCACGGAACAGTTTAAAAAGAAACGGTGAACATTATCTGCTGTTTAGAATAACTCCCAAAGTTATTCTTTGCAGGTGAGAACACCTTCATCAAAAGAGAGTTTGGTATGTCCTGAAGGCACAGACAGGCAAAGTAGAAGAAACATCTACTGTTAAAGCACTGGAGATGCCAACAGAAGCTTACTCGCCCAGGGTTCCCTACTCAGACAATTGAGAGACATAAACATTTAGAGGGCAAACTACACAGTGACAACTCACTCTTCAGGGACAGTAAGGGTCAAAACAACATAACCGCAGTTCCATCTATAGTAGCATTTTGTTAGATGAAGAATGTATTTTGATGCAAATCTCCAATTTGGTTTGTAATAAACCGTACTCCTTTCCAGTTCAACTCAACAGCGCATTCCAAGAGAGCACCTGAAGCACTCTAAGCAATAGAGCTAGTTTAAAGTAAAACAAAATGCAAATAATGGGGACATAGGGTCCCCAGCACTATTATGTCCAGAGATGCATTCCCATTGGTGTGATGTAGACAGTGTAAATGACCTGGTAAGCAGGCCTGGTGGTATAACTTTACTAACTGGTAAAAATACCTCAGTATCTAATTTTCATTACTGTAACTGTAGCATTTATTGTAGGATAACTAGCATCAATGACCTGAGATTCCTGCAGCAAACATAGCCTTCAGCTTCCTGAGAACTAATGCATTTAAAATCTCGGATACAATTTACAGAGGCAATTTCAGGCACTTACTTTAAAAAAGATTTATAGATTACAGACCAGACAGGACTGTTATGACCTTCTACTCTTACCTTCTATGTGGCAAAAGCTATGGAATGTCACCTGTTATTTAATGTGCCATAATCCAGCTATGTATGGATTTATATTAAATATTTCATATTATGGTGCCAGAACAACATAAAGTAGTACTCTGCACATCTGCAACACAACTTCTGTGTGATGTTACTCTCATGTTTTGTTTCTCAATACTCAATACTTCATTTGAAAAAGAAATTGTTTCTGCATGCTGTTGGTCTCACTCAAAAATCATTGTATTGAAAATTTTCAGTCCAAGCATTTTAAGTTTCCAGAAATACTCTAAATTAATGATAGAATTATATATTTGTATCTAAACAGTCCACAGCTACTTATATTAAAAGTAGAAAAAAATATGGGTTTTATTATTTAAGAGCTTATGAGTTATTTTTCTAATGGACTTGTACATATGTGTCTTAATTGAAAAGTTTCACTCACTGTGTTTCCATACTAACTAGCAGAAAGCTATTATATACTTACATTATTTACATTATATTATTTACAGGTGCCTAGACCCTGAGTGATATGAGGAAGGGTCTCCTTTCGCATTACATAATGTAGCAGAGATGGTGCCACAGCACAGAGCCGCAGCTAGACGGAAGATGCACTCCAACTCTTGCACAGCCTTTTTGCTCTTTTACTAGTAAGAGAAAACTTCATCCACTACATGAGATCAGGGAGTCAGAAGCAAGCACAAATGAGAAAGTGTGATTTGCTGGACCTGAAGCAGGAGAGCAAAAGACAGGGAAAACAAGGTACTAGAATTCTTTTAGCATTGCTGTATAAAACTGAGCCTGAATATCAACTCAGACTTCACAGTACCTTCCATTTTAAATCACAGTGAACAGCAATATATCCACCCAGGATGCAGTTTATGAAGCTGCATCAACACAATCATTCTGTTGCATAAAATGATTATGTAAATACAGCATATGACAAAAATGGCTTTGCGTTAGGCAGATTTTCCGTAAGTCCAGCAACAAAATCACACAGGAAGCATTTGTGAGAAACAAAGTATATGGGAGATATACAACAAGAACCTTTTTCCTTGCCTACACTGAGGCTATGTAAGCATATTAAACTACTTTGATATTTCTGTACTTTCATTCTCACACACAATTCAGAGGGTGTGGTTTACAGTTTTAGTAGCCTTTGTCCATTTTCCTACCAGTGCTATTTCTCCTAATCCAAGCTGGGCACGTCCCAAAGTCTGCCAGGCATCCCAGGAACGTGGATTTCTCTGGACAGCCATTTCTGCCGCATGCACTGCTGGGAACATTTCATGCAAAGACATCAGGACCTATGACAAAGACATAAGAATAAGAGGAACAAGAATAAGCAGAGCTGAAAACAGAATTAAGTTCTCTGAGATTACCGAGGCAACCAGTACAGTGTCAGTAAATAAGGACCAGACTCATCTCACCTAGCTTTTAGTCATTTATAATTTAGTTGTCTACTTTAAGATAGTCACCTAGAGTTGCTCCACAGCCCGTAGAGAGAAATCGGTATACTAAAGGATGATTCATCTAATCTATTTAGGCAATGCCTAGGAGATGAATTGCTTCTGAAAGCGTCCTTCTCCCTCCCTCCAAACCTCACACTATGCAAGAGTAACAGAACTACCGTATTACACTGAAGGACAAGCAAATTAAGAATCAAACAGAATAACTAAGGAAGTATTTTTTTCATATAACTCCTAGGTTTTATTTTTTGTTTTTAACAGAAGATTGAAATCTACCAAATACAGTTGTAGTGCACATGATATAATAACGGAAACAATCCCTGTAATTCAGCATGGAAACAACCCTTGACAATGATTGTTATATTTGGAAAGTAGGCTTTGCTACTGCAGAATGCTTTATTTAGACATGAAATTAGCTACATAAATATAAAAAAGTGGTTTCAAATGTGGAAACCTTTTATTCAGCAGTACAGGTAGGTGGAAGCCTGTTACCAAAGTATGCTATCCTCACGTTGGATTTCCAAAACTAGGCCTATAAATCATAGTTAAAGACACATAATGCGACTCAAAGCTCGTACTATTTTCCAAGACCTCCATGAAATTGGCACATTACCTGAAGACCTGCATCACACTGAGATCATGATTTCAGACACCCACATGCTATGGTGATAGATACCAGTGCAAGAAACAAACTACAACTGCATTCCAATTGTATGATGAAAATGTCAACCACAGGAGTAAGACTCATGTGTGGGAAACCACTTTCTTCCCAACTGACCTGCAATCATGATGAACACTATCAGAGCAGATTAGGATAACTGCTGAAGTCTAAAAGGCATTTACTTAACCTTACTGTCCTAAAATATATTAAATACATAAATATGAGTGTAGAGGGGAGGAAGATTCAAATGTGATTAATTACCACAAAGTACTTGCGCAACACTGGGATAATGCAGTAAAAGAACTAGACAGCTTTACTGCAGAAAGTAACCCCGCACCCAGAAAGACAGCAAGCATAGCTTCCAATAAGCACTTTGGATCCATACTCATAGCATTTTAATGACTAAATTTTTCTAGAGGCTAGTCATTCGGGTCTCTCCTTAATTCCATTTGATAGGTTGTACAGTGGAATTTATTAAGTTGCTTAAAAAAAAAAAAGTCACCCCATAGCTGTATGCCATGCCATTCCCTTCGTCTTTTTCTTTTTTACAACAGTTCTCAACACAACAGTTCTCAACAGCTGTGCTTTTTGAGTAAAGTCTGCAACAAATACTATGTATTTTTCCAAAACCTGAAGTTTAATTGCATTTCTGTGTGTAGTTTCATCTGCAGCAGAACTATGAATTGAACCATCAAATTGTCACTAGTGGATAGTCACGTGATCTGCACCTATGACGTGATTTTTACATTCATGCCTTCATATGCTTTTTGTCGTAAGAGAAAACCATCCAAGTACATACTCACCTTAATATTCTAATGTGTCTCAAAGAGCATTCTGTATCTTCTACCAATGTTTTCCAGTGCAGTATAATACTAAAAAATCTACATAAGTATTTACAATTTTTTTTGTTTTTTTAATGACATTTCACTATATTGTTTACTGAACTGTGACTTCAGTAGTAGAGGTGAATTATTCCAATTCGATCCATTTATGACAGTTGTGCATACTTATTTAGACAGCTGCTCTAAAAGTACTTTTGCAGGTCGCTGTGGTAAACACTGTGCAACTAACAACTACAACATCAACTTCTCAAGGTACACTCAAACAAATACAAATTTGAATGTATATGCACTTTGTCCAGCACAGGTACTCTCTTCAGTTACTAATATAAGGACACAACTATAGTTGCTAGTTATAATAGAAGAATAAACTTACTAATAGGCACTAATTTTCCTACAATTACATTTTCAGGTGAAGACCCACCAAATAAGAATAACAGGGATACCACCATTTAGTTGCATAAAGCGTTTGAGAATGTGTTATCTGAGATCTTTAGGGACAAGTGTCACTTGATAACCAACATTAACCAGGTAAATTCTCAGGAGTGATGTAGCACAGCAGAGTCCCGAAATCCCAAGAGCCCTAAGTGAGTTTGTAACACATACACTGTTATGTAATGAGCGTGGGCCGCTTGATCTCTCCTGCCTGCTGCACTCTCTCTATCCCCTGCCCCCCCTCCAAAGAGTCCTAGGTGGTCCTGTTACAAAGACCCAAATTCATAAATATCCTCCAAAACTCCTCCTCCCTCTTTGCTCAAAAGAGCAATAAAATAATCCAGTCAATGCCTACAACACTTAGCCTGCAATGAATTTCAAGCAGTCTTAGAGAATGCATAATACAGATGATCTTCACACACTATTTTGAGTATATAAGATACTATTTAACTAATGCTGAAATTCACACTAAGGTTGTGGGTCTTTTCCAAAAGAACTCTTACAAAAACACAGAAAAACCTGCTTGTATAAACATTTACTTGCCATTTAATATTCTTGTAACAAGGGAACAGTTTAAGTTGGTAAAGGAATATCGAGTATATAAACTGAAACAACTTGTACTCGAAGGAAAACACCCTATGTGCACCCTAACCTCTCCACATACCAGAGTTATCTGTTTTCAAATGGATCAAAGAGTAGCTGACAGCAATGGAAAGAAACTCATCAACTTTTATGAGTTTTGAACCAAGATAAAGTTGAGCAATTCCACAGTTCCCATATGATTTTCTGGAAACACACTTACAGCACCAGTCACTGAATATTGGGAACTTTAAACACTATTTCCGCTCTTCAGAAACGCTGGAGGACATTGTCCTACAAAATGAAACATCTGTTAAAATATGTATCTTTAAGTTCTTTCCATAAATATTTACAGATTCCTACTGTGTCATTAGACAGCATATTTATTTGAGCTATGTATTAAACAACAGGGTATTTAAAATATATTACTTTGCTGCGACAGTAAATACTGATGAACTAGGAAGCTGCTAAGTAATCTAACATAAAATTATTTTAATAAACCTAACAGGATACACAGATTTTCACACTCATGCATAACATTCCATCCAGTGCTAATTCTCAAAAGAAACGACTTTACAGGGAGACTTTTCCTCACTGAGAGAAAATTAATATAGACCATAAAGAATCTCTGCATGTAGTGCTAAGACATTCTTAATATGAGTCACATCCTATACCATATGTCTTGCATACCAAGACAGGCAGACTTGCATAGGGCCAATACTGGTCAAGCCTTGGCTGAATCAGCGTATGGCTGTTCTTCCAAAATTTGGAGCTACCCAGACTTTCTCATGAAGCAACACAATAGCAGCTTTAGCATTTGTGCTGGTATGGTGGATTGGAACAACATACTCAGCTGTAAAACAATATCATTTAAATATCAACCATAATATTTTTGGGATGAATTGCATATTCCTATTTTGGCAAAAATGAATTTTTACAGCTCACATCACTCCCTTTAAAAGCAGAAAAGTATCAAATTACACAGCATTATGTTGACCAGTTTCCAGTAAGCGTAAGTCATACCACAAATAACATTTGTAATAGCTATTCATGTGTACTATAGAGATGCTGCCACTTTAAAGTGTAAAATACGGGTTTTCTTAAAAAGATTTAAGAAACTTTATAAACGTACTTGAGTACGTGAGTATTATGTGATATCAGAAAGTGAAACCAAGGAGAAAGAGTGCAACTGTCCAGCAGTGCTCCCTTCTTCAGGAAAAAAGCAAAGGCATGTTGGAAGCAAAGCCCTGCATTCCTTTAATCATTCTGTTTTCATTATTCTCTAATGGTACCATTAGGCTGAATGATGAACCTGGGGTGTCAAGTAGTAATCACACTTAAGTATTAGGTATTGCAGCTGCAGCACCAACTTAGCGATGTTATACTAAGCATCTGCTTACATAAGTTACTGCACCATAGTATGGACCCTGGTAAACAAATATAAACAAATACAATTCTATATTCTCCTATTCTTTCCACTGTGAATATATTTAATTGCCATATTTAATCTCTCTTTTGGAGAGCTTTGTCTGTACATGAATTGTTGCATTCACATAAGATCGCATAACCATAATAAAAAAAGAACTAGTCCAAAAGAACTACTCAATTTGTTCCATTGAGCATAACTGTTCTTTTCTACAGCTTCTAAGACAAAAAAATCCCCAAAACCTGTAGAAAAAAGGTTATTTGAAAAACACCCTGTATAAAGTCAGCATCACAGCACTTAAAAGAATGGTTCAAGAGTGGTTCTTTTTTTTTTTCCTTCAAACTAGAAGAATCCTGCTGGCTGTTCTGCTTTATTCAAACAAGATTTCTGCACTTAATCTACAGTTAAAAAACTAAGGACCAACAGTGTTTTCACATCTTAAAGAAATTTCTTTAGTAGTGGATTTAAAAATTAAATGCACAAATTAGCAACCTTTCCAGCAACTTGGAACTGATATTTCAAGCAGAATCATATTATTGTCTCTTCCAATAAAAGAATAAGGATCATAAAGTGAATCTAGCAAACGTAAAGTTCAAAACTGACAAAAGGCAGTGATTCTTCAAACAATGCATAATTAAAATTTGGAACTCCTTGCTGCATAACTCTGAGAATGCTAAAAGTTTATAGGAGTTCAGAAAGCAACTAGACAAATTCATTGAAGAGAAATCTTTCAAGAGCTTCTAAGCACAAAAACGTCCCAGAACTACTGCTTGTTGGAGGCTGGAAGAGTGTACTGCTTGTATAACTCTTTGCCAGGCATCCATTGCCGGGAGTTGTCAGGATACTAGCCTAGAGGACCTTTCACTTCATCTAGTATTGATGTTCTCATGTAAAGGTGTCCAAATACGAATAAAAGTTCAGTGGAGGTTTACAAGTATGTTTAAGAAGTTTTAGCACCAGAGAACTGTCAAATTCATAGGAGTCACGCACCTACATCATACAGGTGATTTGTAAATGCTAATATGCATATTTGGACATGCTAAATACCACGTAAATCTCATCCTAAAGTGTGCCTGAGTTAACAGCAAGTAGCCCTGCATAACTTTCCCCAAGGTTTGAACAACACGCATACAAGACACTACATCAAATTTTAAATAAATTCATTTTTTTAGAAGGTTGGAAGAAATAAAGGACTCCAAATCTAGCCTGGTGGGAAACTGGAGTTAGAGGGGAAATGTCCCCTTTTCATAATCATATAAAGAAAGAAATTATGAGTGAATATTACCAGAAATATTCAGTGGTTTCAAGTAAAAATGAGTACTGAATCTTATTATCAAGACCATTAGAATTACTGAACCATTTCAATTAATTCAGAAAGCAGCTCTACCCCTCCTGCCCCCCGAGTTTTTCCTAACACAGTCTAACTGGATCCCTTATATGCATGTGATATGTTAACATAATAATCCAACAAATCAATATACTTCTCCAAAATAACCGAGGAAGAAAAATCTGTTTAAGCTATAAAATATTTGTCAAACCAAATTCAAAATCCAGTTCTAAACCTTCCATAGCAATAAAGAACAAAACTCTCCTTTAGCACTACTGCACTGAAAGCAGCTTGTGATTATTCAATTATTTTACAGAATCAAGCTTTCCTCAGTTCAGAGGTGAGAGGAGAAGACATGGTAATATCCAAGCAAAAAGTAACAGAGTCATCCCATCTTCAGCAAAGGGCTTGGGGAATAAAAAAGAAAGCAACAAAATCTGGTTATTTAAATACCAGAAACAGATTACCGTAACAGATGTTAGAATTAAAGAATACAGCAAACCTCCTAAAAATTGTACATTTATTAAATTACTGGTTTTACTTTCTCTTTTCCTTCTCCTAGCTTTCACCAATGTATTTTTCAGCTATACTTTGAGTAGCTACCTTAAAGTAATTCTTCCACTTGAATTTTACTAGCAGACTGAAAAAGACTCATTTTTGAAATAGCCTTTCCTTACTTAACTGTTCTCTGCCTTTGTCATCACATATGTCAATTGATAAAAAACCAGAGATTAAACATTATTTAAGGAATCCAAAAAACTTGAGTGAAGAAGAAACAGCTCTCATGGTTTTCTCTGAAACAACAAAAAAGTCTCTCTCACAGAGACCTTTAATGTGCTTACACTGTGGCACATTTGCAGGAAGAAAGGTTTTTTAAATTTCCAAAAAGGGAACCAAGGAGTTAACCTAAGGAAATAAGCCCTATCCCTTCCTCTTAGAATAAGCTCTGCAAACATGAAGATGTATTTAACACTGCTGCTCCTTGTCTCCCTCTCATCTGCTGTGCTACTGATACTCCCTGCAAACACAAATATTAAAATATAGGTGACATTTCAGCAGCTTGGCAAGTGTTCTCTGCTTCCATTTATATAGACTAAGACAGAGAGAAGCTGTCATATTCCTAAAAGAAGAAATACAGTTTAATAAAGCCGAGAAAATCCTGTGATGGGGAAGATGAGCGACGAAAGTTTTTAGCAACTGAAATAAAAAGGGCAGCTTTAAATGAAAAGCAAAATGGGATGAGAAATCTGAAGCCATACACTTCTTATTCTCATCTTCAGTCCAAATTATTTTTGCAGAATAACAGCATTCTTGTTTAATATGGAAAAATTATATTTTTGTACCTTGGCAAATAGAGGAAGACAAAAACTTCCTGACCTAAGCAAAAAAAAAATGGGGCCTGGCTTTTTCCATCCAAGTCGCACAGAAAGATACACTAAAATTACAGATTTATAGATGATCTTAAAATTTTAGTGAGGCATTGATGGCTACACACTTCTTTCATTAAAACAGATGCAAGATAAAGACTTCAGGAACTGAGACACATGTATCTATTTAATGTTCTTTTCCAGGACTAATTTATCTATGTAAGACCGAATGCAGACACAAACTTGACCATGTCTTTTTATATAGCATCCTTACTTCATGGTGATGGTATTAGGTCAATGCTTTAGAAAAAAGAGCTGATAGATTTTTAATGGTAGAGCCAAATATGCTCATCTGTCAAGAGTAACATTCTCTTCTTCCTCTGCCTAATATATTTTTTAAATATTTCAGCTGCTTTTGCTAGGGCATGAATTAGGATATCACAATTTAAGAAAAGGGTTTTTTGTGTGTGATTGGCTAAGATAGCAGCATATTTCCACTACCCGTGAAAAAAGACCCTTTTGGGCTGAGAAGAAATGGGAACCCTAAATTAGTTATGCTGTAGTTTATGCAATCACATGTTATTAAATGGTATCTGCTTACAACCACAATGTTTTATTTTTGAATTTCAAAACTGATAAATAATTGTCATAATTTACCTGTGATTTCATCTCATAAAGTGTAGCATCCTCTGGAGTTAACTGAAGTGCTTCATCCCATTTGTGAATAGCTTCCCGGTACCTGTAGTTAAAATAATATTACAATCTCACTACATGTTAAAAGGGGACTTATACTAGGTATTTTTATTGATTTAGATCCTGGCATTGTCCTAATTAAAGGGCCACAGCATCTCATTAAAATCTATTATTTTTCTAAAAAAAAAAAAAAGTACTTTGAACTTCATATGCCTTGATAGTCATAATTTAAAATTTTTTTCTAGCTTAAAAAGGTGCTAAAACTGAAGTCACCCTCCTGCATTTTTCTATTGCAATCCACTAAAATAAAGAAATTTAGTAACTCAGGTATAAAAAATAACAAGAAAATTCAAAGTAAACAGGTATACTTAAGATCATTAAATCATTCAACTTTAGGAAGATATACAGTAGCTTAGAAATAGGCTTCCCTCCCCTAAGAAACAGAAAAAATTATTTGACCAAAAATCAATAAGTCAGTAGAGAATTCCAGCAGCATAATTTGCTGCACAGTTGCAGCAAAGTGCAGGAGCAAACAGTTGCAGAAGTGCAGCCTTAAAAAAAGCTTCAGATGAGCAATAAGGATACTACCAGGAATATGGAGATCCACCAGTTCCATGAATCCTCTGTTACAAAATCCGTCTTTATTATGAAATTTTGGATAGGAACTCATTATTTCTATTAATTCTACTGCCAAGATATGAAAGCTATTACTCTTTAGATAAACAGATATACATACACATGGCAATTTTAATAATATAAATAAAACTAAAATAATTTTCATACACACTTATACAGTCTATTTCTCTCCTCCCTTCTTTCTCTTCCCCCATTTTCTAGTCTTCTGGCATACTTTGCACCTCAGAATTTTTTAGACCAGTACATGAAGACTTCAAGAAGTTCTGAATTGAATGGAAACAAGAGAATATATTGAAAAAGCAATGCAACCAAATTCTAGCTCTCCTTAAACGCTTCAGGTATTAATAACTGGCTAAAGACTATCTGATAAATATGGTTAGAATTCAAGTCAAACAAAGGGACATTTCAATGCATTTTCACATTTCCTAAAAATTTAGCTACTAGCTGTGCATTTGTAGTCTCCGTTCATTCCCCATGTGTAGGTGTTCAGGCTACAAGAAATATCACATTTTATACACGTTATCAGCATAAGCGTTGTTCTAGTTCTTTAGTTAATGAGGACTTTTTTAGTAAAAGATTATAGTTTTGTCCAGAACCTAGCACATACATAGCACAAAAATACTTTATTAGCCAAAAGGATTGCATGATTGTGGGAAGCCCTCAACTCAGACGATGTCTTGGCCACACAGTAAGCTGAAATACTGCTAATGTAGCCAAGATGTTTAGAAACAGAAGAGTCTGGAAAACAGAGCAAACAGTAATGACATCAATAACCATGAAGGAAGGAATTACATAGTGGCACTACGGAACAGAAAGGCAGCAAGATCAAAGTCACATTTAGAGAGCCTCTATTTTGAATTCCCCCAAAATGTAAGTCTGAATATGATAAAAGCTATAGGAAGAACATGCTACCTCTGAAGGAGCACCAAGTAGGCACACGTTCTCAAATCCTGCCGGGTTTTCCTGCAAATTTGTCCAGGGTCTGCCAACAGAAGACAGACAGGCAAAGGAAAAAGTGGTGCATTCAAAAAAAAGCTGTGCTATGTGTATATTTTGTGTATGAACAGGGCACTCAGTGATCCAACAACTGCTACCATATACATGAACAAAAGAGTGAACAGTAACGTGTTAGCAGAACACTCAGTTTGACCGCTGAACTTCAGAAAGAAGGTTTACTGAAGGTTTACAGTATGGATATATCCCCACTGCAGTGAAACATTTATTTTTTCAGTGCATATATTCCCACAAGAAGAAAGTCTGATAGGACTGTTCAATTTTTACAAATATGCAGGGGAAACAAGTTTCCATTGCTGTTCCAGGAAACAAATAGGATACTGTTCTTATTAAAAGAAATTGAGCCATGCTGTGTGCTCCAGTGACACACAACTTAAGAAAAGGCTCCTTTCTTCTGTAAAGCTATTTCTTTAATCAAAAGATTTTCTACCTCATTCCTTCGAGGAGAAAGATTATATACTGCATTAAGTATCAGATGTCCTACTGAGAATGCTGTCCAGGGACGTTAAGATACAGTTGTTAAGTCAATATTCCAGTAAATGTTTCGTGAAAATCATAAACCTTGGCTGAAATAAAAAGTAGGCTAAAACAGGAGTAGTGTCACTAAAATAAAGCAATTTCAAGTCTCAGCATCTGATGGAACTGAACTATAAGGAACCTTTACCATTGAAAGCAAGGAGAACTAATTTTTAAAAAATATAAATTCAAAAAAATATTATATCTGCTTTGGGTTCAATTAATATAGTTATAGAAGCTGAATGACTACTCCACTTGCTATTCCCAATTCTTTTCTAAAAAAGTAAATAAGGTCACACACAGAATTAAGTTACCAGCCCGTAACTGGTTCATATGCATCAGCTGAGCTGCAAGAACTAGCCTGTCAGGCTGGCAAAAGGCCGAGTCTTTATCAGCACTAACTTCCATCAGAAACAAGGAGGAGAGTCAAAAATCCCAAATCTAGTCACTAGCGATAGCTTTTTAGACTTTCAGAAGCCTCCAGTGTTGATCAGAGGGGCCAATAACCCCGTGTAGCGGTACAAGCTCGGGGCTGACTGGCTGGAAAGTAGCTTTGCAGAAAAGGACTTGGGCTCCCGGCGCGCGGACAACAGGTTGAGCAGGAGACAGCAGGGCGCCCGTGCAGCAAAGGCGGCCAACGGCATCCCGGACCGCGTTAGGGAACCCGTCCCCAGCAGGCTGAGGGCGATGATCCTTCCTCTCGACTCGGCCCTGGTGAGGTGGCGTCTGCGGGACCGCATCCCGTTCCGGGCTACCCAGCACGAGACACAGGCGTGCTGGAGCGAGTCCAGCGAAGGGCCGCAGAGATGATTAAGGGATTGGAGCATCTCCCACAGGAGGAGAAGCTGAGAGAGCTGGGACTGTTTAGCCTGAGCGAAGAAAAGGCTCGGGGGAGATCTTATTACTGTGTATAAAGACCGGAGGGGAGGGAGTACAGACAGCAGAGCCAGACTCTTCTCAGCGGTGCCTACTAACAGGACAAGAGGCAAACAGGGGCACAAAATGAAACGCAAGAGGGTCCCTTTCATGGGACATGAAGGAACTTTTTTATGGTGAGGGTGAGCAAGCACGGAAGCAGGTTGCCCGAGCAAGGTTTTGCTGTCTCCGTCTCTGGAGATGTTCACAACCCAACTGGACAACGTCCTGAGCAACTTGCTGCAGTTGACCCTGCTCTGAGCAGGGGAGGGAGGGGCACTCGATGATCTCCAAAGTCCCTTTCAACATCAGTGATTTTGTGATTATCAGAGACAGAAGGACACAGTAAAGTATGGCCCTTGGCTATGTTCTGGCTTGACATAAGTCTTTCTGTGTGTATTAGACAAGTAAACAGCTTATCTGTTTGTAAGCTGTTGTTTTAAGAATGCACCGTGTGCCTTCTGGAGGTCCTTTACAGTCCTGTCTTTTGCAGTTTCACCAATTCTAAAATCATACTCCACGTACATTTACTTACAGGAAACAAGATATACATTTTCCAGCCTAAGAACTGCTTACAACTGTTCTGTACTAGAACGCCAGCAATGCAATTACAGAATACAATGTCTGTAAACTAGTTCTAACAATGCAAGAATAAGTGCTGACTCAGATACTGTCCTGAGAAGTATGTGGGTCCTCGACAGACAAAATCATGGAAACATGACTGCATTTCTTCAAAATAAGTGTTTTATGCAAAGGAAATTACATAGTTCATCATTCATTCACTTTCAATCAACAAAAGTAAAAGATGAACTCCCTCCACCTGGTGATACACGAACCCTAAAAATTGGTAACAACAATACGCAAGAGGAAAAGGAAAGGCTAGGAGTTACAGAATTTCCATCTCTGAGAGCTTTTTGTCTTAAGTAGCAGAATTCAGAAGCCCATTGCCTTTGTCAGCTGCTGTACCAGACAGTGAGTGGCATGCAAGTTCAGTCCCCCCAAAGAGTCTAGCCAGTTCTATTAAAATAACACACCATCCCAGCTGCTAGTCATTCTCAGGCTTGTTTAGGGCACAGAGGAAGAGCAAATCAGAATTCAGAGCTCCTATGTTGAACTCGGCCTTCAGGAACAACCAAACAAGACGACATGAAGCAAAAGGCTCTCTTCCCTCCTCTTAGTAAGAGGTAAGAATTTATAAAATCTGTTACTCAGGCTTTCAGGATGTATATTTTATCAAAGCTCTGTTATACAATATAGGGGGGGAAACCTAATAGGAGCCTTCCAGTACCTAAGAGGCTACCAAGACAACAGAGCAAGGCTCCTTACTGAGGCATGCAGCAGGAGGAAAAGAAATAGTGGTCAGAAATTGAAAGAGGAGGTTCTGAATGGATACAGGGGAAAAAAGAAAAAACAACAATAACAACTTTTCACTAGGACAATCATCGAGCATCGGAGCAGGTTGCCCAGCAGAGGTATGTAATCTCCATCCTTGGAGGCTCTCGAGACACAACTGGACACAGCCTTAAGTAACCTGGTCCGAATTCAGTGTTGACCCTGCTTTGACTAGACAATCACCAAGGCTTCCTTAATTTTTGATGTTGTATAGGAATACTATAAAAACATATCTAATATTACCATAAGGAAGTCACAGGATGTTAAAAACAGGCATATTTTGATTTTATAGAATATCCAATTCATATTTATTTTGAGAAAAGGTAAAATTGTATATACAATATTATATTTTTATATTTCAGACAATTTGTGTACATTGTATATAGTTTTATGTAACTAAACATCTAAACACAAACAATAAGAAATTTTGTTTTTAAAAATACTTTATACCATATTTTGAAGTATTAATTATTATTTGAGTACAAAGACAAGGCATACTTTTATCTGCTCACAGTGACACTTCAGTAAAATGGTACACTCAAAAAGATTATAGTGATGTAGTCAGAACATAAT